ATTATAATTTTGGGGGGTGGGTATTCCGTAGAGGTGCTTACGGTGCCCTGGGGTTCTCAGACCCCTTACAGCACTCTCGGCCAACCAGACCTGAGGTTCAGTGCTTGGAAACAAGGATTTGGTACTGTTTAGGCCATCTGGTGCCTAGTGGAGGTTCCAGGACACCTGAATCTGCATTGGTCCCTCCAGGGCTGTCTCCAGTGATGCTTGGCTGACCATATGATGGAGGGGGTTGAACCTGGGTTGATCCCGTAGGAGCCATGAGCCTTAACCCCTTAACACTTTACTATGATGGACTATCTCTCTGTTCTAGTGATTTTATTTTTCAGGGAGGGGGCACTCCTGGTGCTGCTCAGGACTCTGTTCCCAGGAGTCACTCCTGACAATGCTCAAGGGACCATACAAAGTGCTGGGGGGATCAAAATGAGAGTCTCACATGATCAAGACAAACACCTTACTTCAGAACTATATTTCTGACCCCAGACCTAGTGATCTTAACTTTTTATGTCATAATAGAAAGCTAGAAGACAAACTTGAAATGATAAGTATTGGTATATAGACTCATAAAAGTTTGAGATTACCGTTGAATCTCACTTGCGAATTTTCGGCCAGTTGACACATAGATCAGACTACAACAACCAAACGTAAAAAAGTGCCTTTAAAGGAGGCAGGCTGGTTTTTGAGAGGGAACCTTGTTTGTGTGCAGGGGAAGTGTTGGTGGAGGGAAGTTGGCGCTGGTGATGGGGTCGGTGCTGGTGGGACATTGTATGCTTGAAACTCAACTATGAGTAAGTTGGTAAATCACGGTACTTTAATAAAAACAATATTTTAATGGTTGTTTTTCTTCCTGCCAGCAAACCCACTTTACTGCTCCATATGAGGGGTCTCTAATTTTATAATTTTTGTTTATTAGATTTTGTTTTTGCCTGATGAAGGTTGCAAAGTTTTGACACATGACTTGTTCTTATTGTTATGTTCTCTTATTATTTTCTTTATCTGGAGAGAGAATTGTTATGAAATTAAATGAGCTGCCAAACACATGCTTAAAAACCTTATTCATTTATATTAAATTTGACCATTACAGACTCTTACATTGCATAAAGTTGAACGGAGTTGTCTTCTCTGGCACGCTGTAGTTTCTGATTGCGCTGCCTTGCTTTACTCCTCACCCTTATTTTTGGAGTATTGATTTTTTTCTTTTCCTTTTTTTTAAAATAAATTGCTCAGACACAGTAACAACAAAGTCTCCAATGGAGACGTTACTGGGCCCGCTCGAGCAAATCGAGCAAAATAAATTATTTACCCAAATTCTAAAATTCAAAAGTAGCAAATATTTAAAGAAATATAAAAAAAATCTATCTCGTTTTCACTTTAGCTGTGTCATAGGAAATATCAGGATTTAATAATTTCCTTTGATAGGAACATTACTGTGTCTTCAAGTTGTTTTTATTTCTTTTCATTTAGTTTCTTTCAAGGTTCAAGGAAAAAAGGTCAGGAAAGAAAAACATCGTTATGTAACTTGGTATTTTACAAACCAGTCTCATTCCTTGACAAAGCTTCCATAGCTTCCATAGTTTAGTTTTAATACTCTGCAACTTTGCTCTCTAATTCTTAATGCAGTTCTCATTCTTTGCTTAGAATGTAACCAAAATGACAGCGGTGCCTTGGTTTAACTAATTAGTGAAGCCTGAGTGGAATGTGGATAAGTTAGCCATTCTGGCAGTAGGCAGAGAAGCTAAGCACACTTTTCTCATTAGTTGTCTCCCAGGCTAAAATTAAACAGAATCAAAGTATTGCCAAATCTTAGTGATTTATGAGAGATCTGTTCTGAGTCAAATCGGTATCAGACTAATTGTCTGCACACGTAGAGTTAGAACATGTGTGTTATTTTTGAAGGACTGTGTCTTATAAATTGAATATAATATCAAAATATTCTCTTACATTTAAAAGAGCTTTAGCCCCAAATTTTGATTTCAACTAAGCTGATGTTAAAATTCATTAATAAATTATTGTTTTTTCACTTAGCATTCATAAGCTTGGTTATGTCATTTATGATATAATCATAGAAGTTATATGAAAGGTTACTGGTAAATGATTTTTGACTCTATTGTAACAAAATATATGATTTGCAAGATTACTTTTTCATGTGAAAATATTTCTTGCATTTTTTTATTTATCCAAAGCTCCAGTTATAAAGGTGTCATAATTACTTCTAAACCTCTATACTTAAAAACACAAAAAATTAAAAATTTTAAGTCAAAATAAGTTTGTACACTACTTTTTGTACATAGATCTTTTGTGTACTTTGTGTTATAAAAAAAAGCTTGTGATTTGTACTTGAGATGTATATTAGAACAAAACCTAGCCTGATATTTTTTTACAAAACAGTTTAATTTCTTCTTTTTTATATTATTTTTAAATATAACAATATGCATATACAAAAGAATATTTATAAACAAGGTTCTACTTTTGAAAATAAAATCATTTTTGTGAATAGTATTAACTGTTTGCCAAGAAAGTATCAACACGTTTTTCTAACTCCTCTAAGAGATCTTTTCTTTCACTGGGGTACTATTCCTGTAATCTGTTTCCCTTTAGTATTTTGTAGCACTTGTGTTATTGTTGAATATGAGTTTATTTTAATTGCTTAGTTTGGATTCTTCACACTTTAAGCTTTGGGATGTACGATACGTCTTTCAACTGTTCTGTAAAATTTTCAGTCAATATGTTTCTGAGAAATTTTGCCTCATGCCCATTCCTTAGTGTCTACCTCTGGGATCCAAGTAGACACATGTTGACTCTTTTAAACTCATTTCAGTGGTTTCTTTTCTTTTTTTTCTCACTTTGGTTCATTCTAAATAATCTCATTGCGTTTAATTTTACTACCTTTTTTCCAAGTGTATCTAATCTGCTGTTTAACCTGCACAATGAATGTTTTACTTTGACAAGTAGGTTTGTTGTTTCCATACTGTTGATGGTTATTTGTCAGTAATTTTTTCTTTCCTCATCTTCAGCATATTTTGTAGTTGCTTTATTCTTTTGTTTTTGAGCCACACCTGATGGTGCTCAAGGGTCACTCCTGGCTCTGCACTCGATTCCTCCCGGCGTTGCTCAGGGACCTAATGAGATGCTGGGGATCGAACCTGGGTGGGCTGCATGGAAGCCAAGGCCCTCGCCCACTGTGCTTGGGATCCAGCCCCTGCATTTCAAACATCACTGACAAACAGTCTGTATACCGATATCCTAGTGCCTGTTGATCTACATTTATTTCGCACTGATTTTCCTGACTTCCACGGTGCTTTATTTTATTTTTTTAAATTTTATTAGTGAAGCACCATGAGGTACAGTTGTAGACTTGCAATTTTTGTGCTTGGGTTTCAGTTATACAGTGATCGAGTACCCATCCCTCCACCAGTGCCCGTTCTCCACCAACACTGATCCCCAGTGTCCCTCCCACTCCCACCCTCCCCATCCCACCCTGCCTCTGTAGCAGGGCATTTCCTTTTGTTCTCTCTCTCCTTTTGGGTGCTGACTTCCACAGTACTTTGACTTCTGCAGTACTTACTGATTTTTCAATATGGGAATCAGAGTCAGATCGTAAATGTAACTGTTGCATACAGTGAAGTGAGAACTTTTTCAAAGAGAAATATTTTCCTGATTTTTTTAATGCCTAGGAAGATATTATATGGCAACAAATCTTAAGATTCATCCACTTCTTTTCCCTGCTGTTCCCTTTTTGAAAATTCCTATTACATTCTCCTTTAAGGCATCTATGCTGGCATACCCACTTTGTAGTATTTCCTTTTTAAGAGGAAATTTCTTTTAAGTATTTTCAGTATTTTGTTTGTTTACTTACATATTTTAGTATAACATGACTTTTATTGTCTTTATTTTTGGATTTTTTAAAAATTCTCTTTTGTTTATGGATAGTACAGTTGGTCAACTTTCCTCCTCTCCCATCACACATGCTTATTAGAAGTCCATATGTCATATTGTTACATTGCAACTTTGGTTAATGAATTTTTTTCAGATTTTACTTAGTTCAGTCTATACATGCTATTCATGGCTTATACCCTATGACTATACATCCATGACTTTGTAACTTTTGTTTTTCCGTACTGGAGAGCTGTAAGTTTGTATTAATTTTTCCATATACCCCTGGTTCTATGTTGTCATCCTGTATGTCTTCGTGCTATTCTCTAACACTGAATTCTTTAACCTCTGACTCTCAGTATATTGCATCTTCTTTCTTTGTGGAATGGGTGCATATTTTATTAGTGACATCATTGTAGTGTCATCACTATTTATATGATATGTATAAAACTATTATGGGGAACTCGTGATAAGTAATTCAAGGTAAATCTAATTATAATTTTAATTATGTCTTTTTAAAGAATTTTGTATTTTATTTAAATTTTTTTTTTACTGAATCACCATGAGATAAAATTACAAATCTGTTGAGTCACACAATGTTCCAACACCCATGCACTACCCCAATGCACATTTCCCATCATCAGTGTCCCCAGTTTACCTCCTGCGACCTGTCTCTCTGCCAAGCACTTTGCTTCTGTCTGTCTGTCTGTCTGTCTGTCTCTCTCTGTCTCTCCTTTTGTACATTATGGTTTGTAATACAGGTACTGTGGCGTTATCATGTTTTGTGAGTGATCATTTCCAACTATCCTTGTCATAGTGGTTCCTTCTCTGTCCCAACTGCCTTCTCCTCCAGCACATGAGGCAGGCTTCCAACTGCTGAGCAATCCTCTTGGCCCTTATTTCTACTGTCCTTGGGTTAGGACAATAAAAAATTATTTTATATTTTTATATCCCACAAATGAGTCCAATCATTCTATGTCTATCCCTCTCTCCTTCTGACTCATTTCACTCAGATCCTTTCCAGTACTGTTTTTATTTTTATTGCAGCTATTTTAATTATTGTGAAGTGAGAGCAAGATAACCATTTTATGAACAATTATAACAGTTTTTTAAATCTTTACTTTTAGGTGCTGTGCTTCTTTGTAGTATACAAGGACTGGCGGTTAATATTGACCCGATCTTATATACCTGGCTCCTTTACCAGCCTCAGAAGCGAACCAGTAGACATGTGCAGCAGGTAAGAGGTTTTTTAGAGTTCCCCTTATTATACTTTTTCAGTCATATAGTGGTTATTTATTTATTTATTTATTACGAGGATATAGATGACTGTAAAAGACAGTCTTGTTTCAGTAGACCTTTTAACTGACCTATTCGCCCTTATTGTACCTGTGATTATTTTTTCAGAGTTTTTTTGATAGATAACAATGTTCAGTAAATCTTTTGTTTTTATTATTGTGACGTTCCTCTTCACTGAGAAGTTTTTTCACCAAACACACATTGAGTGGACAAGCTGGGGATTGAGTGAGCTGGTGCAGAAGTCTGGGGTTATGCGATTGTTTAAAAGCGAATACATCTGCATAGTAGAATGACTTAATTCTAGAATTCTTCATTTTATTCAAGATTTCATTATTCCTCTCAAAAAAAAACAGAAATTGATGCTAATTGAGATTTCCTTACCTATTGTTTAGAAAATGGCAGAACTAAGAATTTTTTAAAATAGTAAATGAATTATTTATTTACATTTGGGAACAGCTGTCTTTTATTTGTTACAGAATCACAATGGTACATGCTGTTAACAGACATTAATTTTAGAGAAGTTTCATATTTGCAGCAAAATTTAAAAGTTTATAGAATGGAGAGATGGTAGAGCAGGGAAGGTGCTTGCCATCTAACACAATGAAACAGTGTCCAGTCAGTGGCACTATCTAGATGGAGGGAGTTGTGGATACAGAACTAGGAATAAGTCCCAAGCACACCAGATGAAGAACTAAGAATGCTTGAGGCTATATTTATTCTGTATTGAATTTGATTTTCCCATTGGTAATTGTAATTTTGTTATATTCTACAGTAAAGTTCTTTATCTTTTTTTCTGGAAAACAGACAAACCATCTTTCAGTTCTATTGGAGAAAAGGAAAAAAGTGTAATTATATCAGAATATACGCATTTTAGCTACAAAGTATAACCTGTGGCTCAAGGAGCATCTTTCCAAAGTTTTTCTTCCTTGAACCTGAGAGTGGCGAAGGCACTTGTCTTGTGCCCACCATCACAGGTTGCACCCCTGGCTTTGCGGATATCGTCCCTAAGCAAAGAGCCAGGAGTAAGCTCTGAGCACCTCTGGGTGTGGCCCCCAAACTAATAAATAAAGGTTTCCTTTCCTTACTGGCAATCTCATTGCATGGCTTTCTTAGTGACATCTTTTGCCTGGTGTACATAGTATTGTTTTGTACTCAGCATCACCCTGCAACACATTTTTTTTAATTACTTATTATGTGTTAATGTCAGCCCAGAACTTGGTTGTGATTTTTTAGAGCGCTTGGGCACAGTCAATGTACATAAGGGCTGGAAAGTCAAGGGATTATGGAATCGCTGAATAGTACAATATGAGTTTTTTCAGGTGACACTTCTACCCGTTTACTTCCGAGATGAGTAAGTTTGCATGAAGAAAAACATAATAGGCCAAACATTTCTCATTAAGGTCCTTCCTAATATTTCCTGTCCAGATAAGTATACTATTAGCAGATTGACTGCTTACTAGGAAAGAATTGGACATTGTGATGCTTCCCTCGATACCTTGAACATTCAGGGAAAGGACAAGAAAGCTGCATAGTGTCGAACGTTCCTGTAAGGGTTTGGCTGTTGTGGGGCTGGAGTCACTTTACATACTGGTGTTGCTGAACATGCCCTTCCTGTCTGATAGAGCTGTATTGCAGTTATCATTACTCTTCCCCAGGCTGAAATTTCCTTCTTAGTTTGTGGCCTAAACCCAATATTTCGTGATTGTTTTCCACCCAGTTCAACATGATCCTTGATCCCGCAGCAAACTTAGAAATACCCCCCCCCCCCGTCTCTCTCTCTCTCACTCTCTCTCCCTCTCTCACTCTCTCCCTCTCTCTCTCTCCCTGCCAAAAATCTGACAAGATTGTATTGGGTGTCAGCAGCAGTAACATCAGGCTTTATTTGGTGAATAAAGATGAAACAGCTGCTTTATTGTCCAACTCAGCACTTGGGAATCTACATAGTATTATAATGTTTCCCAGCTTTTCTCTAACTATAGATGTTTTTCTAAATATGTGGTGGATATTACTATGTCAGACAAAATAAAGAGATTTTAGGCAATTGTTTATAAATAATACAAATAAGAGGATGTGGAAGTTTGAATATTAACATGTTTGATCAGTTTATAGAAGTATGCACCCAAAATAAAATTTTATAGTTTTCTGTTTTCTAATAATCACAGCTTTTAAATTGATTTGATTTCTCCTTACCACTTTATACTTATTACTAAGATTTATGTTAAACTAAAACTACTTGCGTACTCTTGATTTTGCCCAGAAATATAATTTAAAGCTTATAAATTTTTTTGTCACTTATCGTTAATGTTTGTGGGTGTATATGTGAATGAGACAGAAAAAAAAGAGAAAGGGAGAGAAGGGAAGTGGAGGGAAGGACTAAGTTAAGGAAAGAAAGATTGGTTGATGTAAAATAATAAAACCTCAACTCCAATGTAGGATGTATTTTCCTCCGCGATGCAAAATGTTATTTTCACCCCTTAAAAAGTAGTCAGTAATTCAGTTTTTCATTACATTATTTCCAGCAGCCTGTGGTAACTGTTCCTCTGGTTATGCCGATTAGCAGACGGAAAGAGGATGAGGTGTCTGTTGGAAGCGCGCCCTTGGCAAAGCAACAGTCGTATCAGGCTTCTGAATATGCCAGTAGTCCTATAAAAACCAAAACGATAACAGGTATGTCTCAAGATTGATAAAGGTCTGTGCTTCACCTTACCTCTAAGAACCAAGTTACCAAGTGCTTCTGTTACGCTTCCAAGAACACAGGCCAAGGAGTGCAGAAACAAAGGCCGTCCTTCACTGCCTGTGGCATCGGCAATAATCACTTGATCACTTGATCACTTGACTTCCCGTTAATCATCAGTTTGCTCGAGCAGGCGCCAGTAATGTCTCCATTTGTCCCAGTCGCGTGCTAGTGTAGCACAGTGGTGTCTGTTCGCTCTAGGAACATGAAGAGCCTCAAACCGATCGTTCATGATCTTGATGAAGAAGTCTGACCATCTGGTAGGTGGGCAGCCACGCGGTCTTTTGGCATCCTGTGGAATCCAGTCAGTAACAGCTCTACTCCAGCGGTCATCTTTAAATCTCATTACATGACCAGCCCATCTGATTTTTGACACCTTGGCAAACGAGACAGCGTCCCTGATTCTTTTTTTTTTTTTTATTAGTGAAACACCATGAGGTACAGTTGTAGATTTACAATTTTTTGTGCTTGGGTTTCAATTATACAATGATCAGATACCCATCCCTCCACCAGTGCCCATTTTCCACCACCATGGATAATATCCCCCCCACCCCCATCCCCCCATTCCCCCCTGCCTCTGTGGCAGGGCAATCCCCTGTGTTCTCTCTCTCCTTTTGGGTGTTGTGGTCTGCAAAAGAGGCGTTGAGTGGCAAACATGTTCAGTCCATAGTCTACTTTCGACATGCATCTCCCCTCCTGGGAGGATCCTCCAAACACCCTTTATTTGGTGCTCCCTTCTCTATCTGAACTGCCCTTTCCTCTAGGATACCCGGCTGGCCTCTAAGTTATGGAGTAATGCTCCTGGTGCTGATCTCAGCTATTCTTGGGTATTAATCTCATATTTTGTTACTTTATATTCCCCAGATGAATGCAATCTTTCTATGTCTATCCCTCTCTTTCTGACTCATTTCGCTTAGCATGATACTTTCCATATTGTACCACTTGTATGTAAATTTCATAACTTCATCTTTTCTAACAGCTACATAGTACTCCATTGTGTGATGTACCAAAGTTTCTTTAACCAGTCATCTGTTCTTGGGCATTCAGGTTTCTTCCAGTTTCTGGCTATTGTAGAGTGCTGCAATGAACAAACAAGTGCAGATGTCACTTCGACTACACATTTTTGCCTCTCTGGGATAGCATCCCTGATTCTTGATCGTCGAAGGATGTCAGAACTCCGGATTCTTTCTCTCATTTGAGTGAAACTTGATATTCCAAGCATAGCTCTTTCTATTCTTCTTTGGGAGACCTGAATAGCGTTCTCATCTTGTTTGCGTAAGGCCCAGGTCTCTGAGGCATATGTTAATGCAGGAAGAACAGTGGAATCAAAGAGATGTGCCCGGAGCCAGAGGTTCTTCGTCCTCTTAGCTATTTCTTCGACGTTCTTGAAGGTGTTCCAAGCCGCTCTCTTCCTCCTGCACAACTCAGGTGCCAGGTCATTCATCATGTTGATTTCTCGACCTAGGTATATATAACTGTTGCATTCGGAGATGGTCGTTCCGTTGAGAGCAAATGGGGCGTCAGGAACGAGGCTGTTTCTCATAAACATTGTCTTCGTAAGATTCAGCTGTAGTCCTACCTTTCCACACTCACGGTCAAAGTCGGCCAGCATTTGTGCCGCTTGGCTGATGTTTGGTGTTATTAAAACAATGTCATCAGCAAAGCGGAGGTGGTGTAGTTGCCGACCATCTATCTTCACTCCCATTCCTTCCCATTCCAGTCGTCGCATGATGTTCTCGAGGGTGGCACTGAAGAGTTTCGGTGAAATGGTATCACCCTGCCGCACCCCTCTCTTGACATCAACGATCACTTCTTTGTAGAATGGTGAGATCCTGGTAGTGAATCCGCAAAACAGCTCACGGAGGATCCTGATGTATTGGCTTGAATGCCCTGATTGGCTAGGGCTTCAATGACCGCTTCCGTCTCAACAGAATCAAAGGCGTTCTTTTAATCAATGAACGTTAGACAGAGCAGCATCTTGAACTCCCAAGAAACCTCAATGAGTTTGCTTATCGTGTGGATATGGTCGATGGTGCTGAATCCTTTGTGGAACCAGGCTTGCTCGCATGGTTGTCCTTCATCTAGTGTTCTGCCAGTCTTATTTAGGATGACTCGAGTGAACAACTTGTAGATGACAGACAATAGGCAGATCGGGAGATAGTTGCCAATGTCATGGATGTCTCCCTTCCTGTACAGTAGTACATCTTGTTGGTTTTCCATTGGGACGGAACCTTGCATTCAGACAGGTAGTGTGTGAAGAGCCGAGCCAGCGTATTGATGTCACTAATCAGAGGACAGTAATCAGTGTGTCCTTCTAAGCGTCTTCCTAAGAAGCACCTGTAGAGCGCCAGGTGCTCTGACAGTGAATTGCTTCCAGGAGAAGAATCCTCGGTAGTGATTGAGTGAATTTGATTCAGTGATCATGGCTAGAAAGTACGCCCATTCTCTAGTGGGAAGCCGTCTCTCCACTGTGGAGATAGGGGATTCTTAGAAACCGCAGTGCATCTGTCTGCTTGCCTTTCCGTTTTTGTGGATCTATCTTCGTTTCTCCACCAGGCCATAAGATGCGCGGTAGGCCCCAGGATATTACAAGGGATAGCAGGTGAGAATCACAAAATGGAGGCGGGAACTAGTTGTTACTGTGTTTGGCACATTGACTACGTCATGAATAGCTTGCCAGGCTTTGCCGTGCAGGCAAGATACTCTCGGTAGCTTGCTGGACTCTCTGAGAGGGGCGGAGGACTCGAACCCGGCTCGTCGGGCTGGCTGCGCGCAAGGCAAACGCCCTACTGCTGTGCTATCGCTCCAGTACATTTTAATAAAATCACTGTTCACTACAGTGATAGCCGATGAAAGTAAACTTTCTTTCTTTCTTTTTTCTTTTTTTGCTTGCTTGCTTGAGCAGGCCCAGTAATGTCTCCATTGTGAGACTTGGTTGTTACTGTGTTTGGCATATCGAATACTTGAGAAATTTGTTTGTTTATTTATTTATTAAAAAAGTAAGCCTTGTCACAGATTCTGACCACCAATTAATTGTTAGTAGTACCAGGTAGATAATGGGTGGGTTTCTTGCCTTGTGCTCCATGCACGCACCACGCAACTCCCCTTCCCCTGGAACTGCCAGGTGTGACTCTGGTGGCCCCCAGCACTGCCTCGCCTGTGCAACTGTTTCTCATACATTGGACCCCTATATGTACACTGGCCAAGAACTGCAGAGAGTAATACCCTTCAGCCCTACAGAGATCCAAGAGAAAGAAAATTTTTAATGATGAATGAAGATGATAAATTGCTTAAAATGGAAATAAAATCAAATGTCACAAAACTATGTAGAAAAGCCATAGATATAATATAGTACATAATGCTCTTACCTTGCACATAGTCAAGTTGGTTTCAATCCTAGGAACTCCATATGGTTCCCCAAGCCCTGCCAGGAGTGATCCTTGAGCGGACAGCCAGGAGGAAGCCCCGAGCACGATGGATGTGACCCAATTCCCCCAAAAGGGAAGCAAAACGTTATAGATTTGAAGATACAGTTGGTATTCATGGTTTTATACATGGATATCTAGTTATATTCCAGACCACAGGTAGAGGAGTCTCAAGCCGAACTTAGCAGTCTCACTGAACTGAGTTTTGGGGAAGTGTAAGCATGCAGAAATGGCTGGAAATGATTGGACAGATTCCAGAGAGAAAACGTCATGCAGGAAAAGATTCCCAGGAAGCAGTGATAGCCCTCTTTGAATTTTTGTTGAATAGTCCTGTGGCATAGGGTGAGACACCACATGAGCTTTGATCTGAATGATTTGCAGAGCTAATAACACTGGAAGACATTCAAGCTTCTCTCGTCTGTAGTATTTGGTTTCCATTTATCCCTCAGGACCATCCGTGGAGACACGGAAATTCCACAACTGAGTTATGGAACTAAATGAGCTGGTGAGGAAGGGTCACCCTAGCTTTAACAAGCTTGAAGAAGTGTCTTAAAGGGCTGAAGACATAGGGCGGCAGGTAGGGTGCTTGCCTTGCACATGGCCATCCCGGGTTTGATCCCTGGCACCCCAGATTGAGCCCCACTAGGAGTAATCCTTGAGCTTAGAGCCAGAAGTAAGCTTTGAGCACCACTGGCTGAGACCCCAAAATAAAACAAAATAGCATTAGCAACAAAAACTACAACAAAATAAAGTCTCTGAAGGAAACAAACTGTAAATTAAAAAAGTTAACTGCTGCGAAAATGAAGTCTACACTATTAGGAAGAATCAAAGCTCAGTCACTGTGACAACTTAAAAGTCACAGTGTGAAACAGTCTACCAAAATCTAATAAAGGGCCTGTGCCACTCTAAGCATCAAATTATCAAAGTCCAGTTCTGTCCTACCTCATATATTTATCCCCTTCTCCCTAGTTTCCCCACTCTTTTTTCCTTTCCTACCCAGAAGCACAAATTGACCATAAAATGCGAGAGCTTAGTTTTCTTTTATTTAGTTCATCTGTTTTCTCTATACCACATATGAGTGAGTTCGCACTGTGTGTACCAGTCTGGTTTATTTCCATCTGCTTGTTACTCGTTAGGTTCACCCATGTTTCTATAAATAGCAAAACTCCATCCTTTGGATAGTCGAATCCTAGTCCATGGTGTCTAGGAACCATATCTTCTTCATCTCTTTGTGATCAGCTCTTGGGTTATTTCTAGTTCTTAGCTGTTAAAAAATCGCAGCAAACAAGCCTGCATCTGTCTCCTACATTGTATTTTGGGGGGGGGGGTTAATGCCCAGAGGTGGAATTCTGAAGTCCCACTGGAATGTTTGTTTCCATTTTATTGTTCCCAAGCAGTGCTCCAGGACCTTGGGGACCACACTGGCTGATACTTGACCTTTTGAACCTGGGGTTGAGAACTTGTACTGAGGATGCTGTGATACTCATGCCTGGCCTGCCCTGTCGGTG